CCGACAGTGGGGAGGCCAGCATGGGACTGATCTGGACCCCCCCAAATGTGAGTGTCAGTGAGAAGGCCTGGGCAACCTATGGGGCCCTGAGATGTGGATCAGTGTCTATCCCTGGTATACAAACTGTCTTCATGTGCCTATAGCACAAAGAGAGATGCTCTCTCAGCCTGGACTCTTAGGGGAGTGCCTTGACCCTACCAAGAGTAAAATGACAGACTCTAGATATCCCCTATGTGGAAGGATTTGGCAATAGCATGGGAGGGAGGGGGAAGGGGAGTGCAGGAAGAGGGGAGGGAGAGGGAACTGGGATTGACATGTAAAACAAGCTATTTAAAATTAAAATAAAAAATGATATAAAAGAAAAAAAAAGAATATTATGTCAGAGACAAAAGAAAAAAAGAGATGAAGGAGGTCATTTCATATTCATCACAGGAGAAATCAACCAAGATGAAGTCTCAATTCTGACCATCTATGCCCCCAAGTACAAAGGCATCCATATTCATAAAAGAAACATTACTAAAACTCCAATCACATATAAAACCTCACACACTTATAGTGGGAGACTTCAACACCCCACTCTCACTACTAGACAGGACCACCAGACAGAAACTTAACAAAGAAACAGGAATTATCAGAAGTTATGACCCAACTGGGATTAACAGACATCTATAGAACATTCCATCCAAACACAAAAGAATATACCTTCTTCTCAGCATTACATGGAACCTTCTCTAAAATCGACCGCATACTTGGCAACATAGCAAACCTCAACAGATAAACAAAATTGGAATAACACTCTGTATTCTATCAGATCACCATGGTTTAAAGTTAGAATTCAACAACACAAATTGCAGAAACCCTACAAACACATTGAAATGGAACAATGCACAACTGTACCATTCCTGGATCAAAAAAGAAATAAAAAAGAAATTAATGACTTCCTAGAAGTCAATGAGAATGACAACACAACATACCTACACTTATGAGACACTTTGAATGCAGTGCTAAGAGGGAAGTTCATAGCACTAAGTGCCCACATGAAGAAACTGGAAAATAGTCACAGTAGAGAATTAACAGCACAACTGAAAGGTCTAGAACAATAACAAGCAAACTCGCCCCAGAGGAGTAGACACCAGGAAATAATCAAATTGAGGACAGAAATCAATAAAGTTGAAACTAGGAAAACAATACAAAGATCAATGCAACGAAGAGTTGGTTCTTTGAGAAAATCAACAAGATAGGCAAACCTTTATGCAAACTTTCCAAAAGGCAGAGACAGAGCATGCTATTTAACAAAATCAGAAATGAAAAAGGGGACATAACAATGGACACTGAGGAAATCCAGAGAATTATCAGGTCATACTTTGAAAACCTGTACTCCACAAAATTCAAAAATTTAAAGGAAATAGAAAACTTCCTAGATAGATATCACGTACCAAAATTAAATCAAGAACAGATAAGCAATTTAAATAGACCTATAACCCCTAAGGAAATAGAAGCAGTCTTCAAAAGTCTCCCAACCAAAAGAAGCCCAGGGCCAGATGGTTTCAGTGCAGAACTCTACCAGAAAATCAAAGAAGAGCTAATACCAGTACTCCTCAAACTGTTCCACACAACAGAAGCAGGAGGGTCACTGCCAAACTCTTTTTATGAGGCTACAATTACCTTGGTAACCAAGCCACAAAAAGACACAACTAAGAAAGAGAACTACAGACCAATATCCCCCCTGAACACAGATGCAAAAATACTCAATAAAGTACTGGAAAATTGAATCCAAGAACACATCAGAAAAATCATTCACCATAATTAATTAGGCTTCATTCCAAGGATGCAGTCGGTTCAACATATGAAAGTCGATTGATGTAATTCACCATATAAACAAACTGAAAAAGAAAAACCACATGATCATCTCACTAAATGCTAAAAAAGCCTTTGACAAAATCCAACACCCCTTCATGATAAAAGTCTTGGAGAGATCAGGGATAACAGGAACATACCTAAACATAATGAAAGCAATATACAGCAAACCAACAGCCAACATCAAACTAAATGGAGAGGAATTCAACACGATTCCACTACAATCTGGAGCAAGACAAGGCTATACACTCTCTCCATATCTCTACAGTATTGTACTCGAAGTTCTAAGAGAGACACATACATGGTACCCCAGAGAAGGGGAAAGGGACAAGATCTCCTGAGCAAATTGGGAGCATGGGAGGAGGGGAGAAGTTGCTAGGAGAAAGAGAAGGGGAGAAGAGGAGGGCAGAGGAAGACATGAGGGAGCAAGAAGGTTGAGTTGGGGAAAATAGGGAAGCGCAAGATAAGAGATACCATAATAGAAGGAGTCATTATAGGTTTAAAGAAAAATCTGGCACTAGGGAAATTTCCAGAGTGCTACAGGGATGACACCAATTAACAAACTAAGCAAATTGGAGAGGCTACCTTAAATGCCCTTCCCTGATAATGAGATTGATGACTACCTTATATGCCATCCTAGAGCCATCATCCAATAGCTGAAGGAAGCAGAGGCAGACACCCACAGCTAAACACTGAACTGAACTCCTGGAATCCAGTTTCAGGGAGAGAGGAGTGATGAGCAAAGGGGTCAATACCAGGCTGGAGAAACCCACAGAAACAGTTGATCTGAACAAGGGGGAGCTCATGGATCCCAAACTGAAAGCTGGGAAACCAGCATAGGACTGACCCAGACCCCCTGGACATGGGTGTCAAGGAGGAGGCCTCAGCAATCTATGGGGTCCCTGGTAGAGGATCAGTATTTATCCCTAGCAAAAGGATGAACTTTGGGAGCCCATTCTACATAGAGGGATACGCTCTCAGCCTAGATATATAGGGAGGGTCTAGGCCCTGCTCCAAATGATATGACAGACTTTGAAGATCCCCCATGGAAGGTCCCACCCTCCCTGGAGAGCAGAAAGGAGATGAGATAGAGGGTTACAGAAGGGACAAGGGAGGAGGGGAGGGAAAGGGAACTGGTATTGACATGTAAAACAAGCTTGTTTCTAATTTAAATAAAATTCTCAAAAAAAAAACAAACACCTGTGAGTAAGAAGTTCCCACTACAATTTTTAGAAAACAGATAATTCTATTTTAAAAATGTTAACTGGGTCTTTTGTTTTTCCATACAAAATTGATTATTGTTCTTTAGTGGGTGGTACCCTTGAACGAATTGGTACAGGAGACAGCTTCCTGAACATAACACCAGTAGCACAGACAGTGAGATCAACAATTAATAAATGGGACCTCCTGAAACTGAGAAGCTTCTGTAAGGCAAAGGACACAGTCAGCAAGACAAAAAGGCAGCCCACAGAATGGGAAAAAATATTTACTAATCCCACATCTGACAGAGGGTTGATCTCCAAAATTTACAAAGAACTCAAGAAGCAAGTCTCCAAAACATCAAAGGACCCTATTAAAAAGTGGGCTGCAGAACTAAATAGAGAGTTTTCAATAGAGGAGTCTAAAATGGCTGAGAGGCACTTGAGAAAGTGCTCAACATCCTTAGCCACATGGGAAATGCAAATCAAAACAACTCTGAGATACCATCTCACTCCTGTCAGAATGGCTAAAATCAAAAACACCAATGACAATTTATGCTGGAGAGGATGTGGTGAAAGGGGGACACTCCTCCATTGCTGGTGGGAGTGCCAACTCGTACAGCCACTTTGGAAAGCAGTATGGAGATTCCTCAGAAAAATGGGAATAAACCTACCACAAGACCCAGCAACTCCACTCTTAGGCATATATCCAAAAGATGCCCATTCATACAACAAAGATGTCTGTTCCACTATGTTCATAGAAGCTTTATTTGTAATAGCCAGAACTTGGAAGCAACCTAGATGTCCCTCAACCGAAGAGTGGATAGACAAAATGTGGTACATCTACACAATGGAGTACTATTCAGCAGAAAAAAGTAATGGAATCATGAGATTCACAGGCAAATGGATGACACTAGAAGAAACCATCCTGAGTGAGGTAACCCAGTCACAAAAAGAGAAACATGGCATGTACTCTCTCATATATGGATTTTAGACATAGATCTGGGGAATGCCAGCCTACAATCCTATGGCCAGAGAATCTGGGAAACAGAAACTTCATTTAGTGGCTGATCGAAGAAGAGGCAGACTCCCTTGGTTAAGTACTGAGCTGAACTCAAGAAAGCCAGTATCAGAGAGGGAGGACTGATGATCAAAGGGATTAAGACTGGGCTGGTTTAACCCCCAGAAACAGCTGACCAGACAAAGGTTAACTCTTGAAACCCAGGCATCAGCCTGGGAATCCAGCATGGGACTGATCAAGACCCCCTGAATTTAGGTGTCAGTGAGGAGGCCTAGGGAATCTATTGAGCCTTGGGCAGCAGATCAGTACCCATCCCAAGTATACACACGGACTTTGGACTCCCATCCAACAATGTGAGGTGCACTCTCACCCTGAACTCTTGGGGAAGGGTCTAGGCCCTGCCCTATATGAAATGACAGACTATGGACACCCCCATGGAGGGCCTCACCCTCCCTGGGGGAATGAGGGGATAACGGGGGGGGGGGCTGGGGGAAGGCACGGGAGGAGGGGAGGGAAAGGGAGAGGGACCTGGAACGGACTTGTGAAGCAACCTTGTTTCTTATCTAAATTTAAACTGGAAAATAAAATTAAAAAAAAATGTTAACTGGACCCAGTGGTACAATCTGAGAAAGGAAGACTATAAAGTCAAGGACAACCAGGGTTATAGAATGAGATCAAGCAGCTTGGGACAGAGAAACTCTGCCACACATAAAAAGGGGGAGCATCTCCAAGTTAATAAAAATAGTGATGTTAGCAGAGACTGCAACATTGAAGGAAATGTCACAAAATAAGAAACTGAATCCTCAATTTAATATATTTTTCTTCCCTTAAAAAGTAATTTGTTTTCACATAAAACTATAGTCAATACATCTTCTGTATAATTCAATACATGCTTACATATTGTTACTAAACTTAAATCTCACCTCACAAGATTGGCAGCAGGTTTGTGAGGGAGAATCGCTGTCACAATGCTTTCCTGGTTTCAGAACACAAGTCGTAGGTTCACAACAGCTCTCGGGGCCACATTGCTGTGAAGGAAAATGTGTAACAGTGACTGATCCATTACATAGTAATAGAACTATAGATTCTAGGGAGATATTAACAATAGTGGCTTATACAGATGTTAGCATCCACAAACACAATGCTTAATGGGATCTCAATAGAATAACTAATATTGTACTTTCCCTTCCAATCTAATAGAAGCACAGAAAAATACAGGAAGTAACCTTTTCCAGCATTTGGATACAACAGGTAAAGAAGAGCCACAAATCACTACAGAAGAAAACCAAAGAAATGGTTCAAGAGCTTGGGAGGCACTTTCCTGAGAAGACTGTGATGTCTTAAAAAGACAAGATAGCCCCCCCACCCAACCTTCTGCAACTCTATAAAGCTAGTTCCAGAGGATTTGAAACCTCTTTGTATGTGATCCACCTTTGCCAGGCTTCTTTCCTTTCTCATTCCCCCTCCATCTCCTCTGTTTCCCCCTTGCATGTGGCCATCTTCACACCCAGAGGCCTAGGTGGTTAGGTGACCTTTTAACCTTCTTTGTTCAAAAGCCACCTTTGAAAGGTGAGACACCCCCCTTCCTTCTCCCATCCTTCCCTCTACCAGTAGTCATCTCAGCACTCACAAGCCTATTTCTAGACCTGTGGTTTCAGAAAAGGTTTTGCCTGATTCAGAGCAGATTTTGCCTTATCCACCAGCTTTGCATGAGGCTCTTATGCTGGACCAATCTAAGAAAAGCTTTCGTATCACATCAGAAATACAACCGAAGAAAGAGGTCCACATGCCCAGGTCAGATCACAAAAACACCACCAGTGGTCTAAACAGCTCCCAACATACCCAATAGTCCTTAGAAGTAGTATCTATAAGAACTATCTGGATGAACCACAGTACACAGAAATTAAAAGAACAATCATATACTTTATAAACTAACTTAAGGAATGGAAAGTAGGCATGAACAATCACTTCACTAGACTCCAGGAGGACAAGAAAGCCTTGAGTGATGCCCAAGAAAATACAAATACAGAGCTGAATAAAATTAATTGAATTTGAACACTGATCTAAAAAAGAGATAGAAACATTGTAGATAATGCAGGCTGAAATGAAGAGGAATTGAAAAACTTAATATCTCAATTAGAAAACTCAGGGAACAGTCTTACAAGTAGAATAAATCAAGCAAAAGACAGAGTTCTAGAATTCAAAGTAGAGGATCCAGACAAAATAATGAGCATGAAAAGATTAAACAAATACAGAAAGGGAACACACAGTAACTTTCAGACCCTGTGAAAAGACCAAACCTACAAATTACAAGCTTGGGTAAGGGAGACGAATGGTCAGTGGCAAGGATGAGATCTTTAGCCAGATCACAGAAGAAAAATTCCCCCACGCTAAAGAAAGTCATACCCATAGAAGCACACGGAACCCCCCCCCATCTAGACAAGACCAGAAAAAAAAACACCCCACAAAATAACATAATTAAAACACTAAATATCTACAACAAAAAAAACTATTTAAAACTGCAAGAAAAAAAGAGCATAAGTCACATATAAAGGGGAAAACTTATCAGAATATTTCTCAATGAAAACTGAAAGTCAGAAGAGTCTGGAGTAATGCATTCCAAGTTTTAAAAGAACATGACTGACAACCTAGACTACTATAACCAGAAAAAATAATCTGAAGTAGTTAAAGGAGGAAAAAAGACTTTAAGGATACAAAACAACCTTAAAATGCATGACAAAGAACAGCATACTGAACATCATAAACGAAAAGAGGAATAGGCAACACCCAAGAGACTCTAGAAAGAAAACAAAGCTAAGCTATAATTTAATGAAATACAAAGTACAACTAAGAGCATAAATCTGAAAAATCAAAAATGACTGCAATCTACAGATACATTTCAATAATCACCATAAATATTAACAGCTTCAAGTCTCTAATCAAAAAAACATACACTAGGTGAATGGATTAAGAAACAAACCCATCTATCTCTTGTCTATAAGAAAGTCAGCTTTAGAAACAGGTGTCACCAGGATGGAAAAAAAATACTCCACGTAAATGGAACCAAGGAGCAAGCTGTCATAGTTATTTTAGTATCTAACAGAATAGACTTCAAACCAAAATTAATTAAAAGAGATAGGGAAGGATACTATATGCTCATTAAAGGAAAGATCCATCCAAGAGGATATTATTTCTAATCATTCATACACCAAAAAGCAGGGCATTTAATTTCATAAAAAGAAACTCTACTGACAGCTAAGATCACATACTGACCCTTAAACATTGAAAGTAGGAATCTTCAGTATCCCTCTTATGAGATAAAGGTCATTGAGACAATAAAAAGAGAAATGCTAGAAATCAATGATGCCATGAATCAATGGACCTAACAGACTTCTGTAGAAAGATCCATGTAAACACTAAAGAATATATTTGCTTCTCAGCAGCCCATGGATCGTTTCTCAAAACTGAATGCATATTAGGTCAAAAAGAAAGTAAAAAAGATAAATATAAATTAAAATAACACCCTATATCCTATATGACAGTAGTGAATTAAAACTGGATATCTAGAACAAGAAAAATAGCAGAAAATATACAAACTCGTGGAAACTGAACAACTCACTACTGAATGAAATTACATCAAGACAGTTATTAAAAGGAAAATTAAAATAAAATGAAAACACAACATTCTCCAATCTGGGGACATAATGAAAGCAGTTTTAAGAGGTAAGTTCATAGTGATAACTGCCTACACCAAAAATAACTGGAGAGAATTCACATTAATAACAACAACACAATAGGAAGTTCTAGAAAAAGAAGAATAAATAAGAGCAAACAAGAGTAAGAAATAAACTCAGGCTGAAATCAGTGTAATAGAAGACAAAAACTAATATAAAGAATAAGGAAACCAAATGTTGGTTCTTTGTGAATATCAACAGACCTTTACCTAACTTAACAAAGACATGAATAAAGATGATCCAAACTAATAAAAAACCAAGATAAAAATAGAAACATTACAACAGACACCAAGGAAATTCAGAGCATCATAAGGACATAATTTAAATATATATATATATTCCATCAAAAAACTGGATGCATTCTTTGATACATATACAACCTAGCAAGGTTAAGTCAAGATTAAATAAGCAATGTAAGCAAACACCAAGCCCCTAGTAAAATAGAATCATTAATTAAAAATCTTTCAACCAAAAGAGCACTGGACTGGATGAATTCATCACAGATTTTTCTATCAGACCTTTAAAGAAGAGCTAACACCAATACTCCTCAAAGTATTCTGCAAAATAGAAACTGAAGAAACATCTCCTAATTCTTTTTCTGAAGCTACTATTACCCTCATACCTAAACCACACAAAGACTTAACAGAAAAGAAAATTATATACCAATACCACATATTAGCATACATGCAAAATTTCCCAATAAAATACTTGTAAGCAGAATTCAAGAACACATCAAAAATATTATTTACCATGATCAAGTTGGCTTCATCCCAGAGATGCAGGAATTGTTCAACATACATAAATCAATAAACTTAATCCACCACACAGACAGACTGAAAGACAAAAACCGCATGATCATCTCATTAGATGCAGAAAGGCCTTTGACAAAATCAACATCCCTTCATGATTAAAAGAACTGAAGAGAACACGGATAAAACTGGAAAGAAAAAAAGACATCTTCAACACATGGTCAAACTGGATGGCTGCATGAGTAAGAATCCAAACAGAGCCATGCTTCACAAAACCCAACTCCAAATAAACCAAAGACCTTAACATAAGGCCAGGTACACTGAATCTGACAGAAGAGAAAGCAGGGAATACTCTTAAACTCACTGGCAAGCAAGAAGCCTTTTTGAATAGGGCACAGAAAGGATGGGTGCTAAGAATAACAATTAATACATCGGACCTCATGAAACTGAAAAACTTCTGTATGGCAAAGAACACCATCATTTAGACAAAGTGGCAGGTGACAGAATGGAAAAAAATTTAACAACTGCACATCCAATATAGGGCTGATATATAAAACATATAAAGAACTCCAAAAAAAAAAACACTAGACATTAAGAAAACACATAACCCAATTAAGAATAGGGTACAGTTCTAAACAGAGCTCTTAAAAGATAAAACACAAAGGGTTGGGACACACTTGAAAGAAATGTTCAACACTCTTCACCATCAGGGAAATGCAAATCAAAGCTACTTTGAGATTTCATCTTAGACCAGTCATAACAGCCAAAGTTGAAACAGAAGTCAGCTCATGCTGGCAAGGGTGTGGGAGTAAGGGCATATTCATTCATTGCTGGAGGAAGTGCAAATTTGTACAGCAACTATAGAAATCAGCGTGGCAGTTTCTCAGGAAGCTGGGAATATACTTTTTAAAGATCCAGTTATATCACTCTTGGGCGTATAACCAAAAGACTCTACATCATTTTACAGAGGCATTTGCTCAGGGATGTTCATGGCTGCTCTATTCCTAATAGCTAGAAAATATAAACAGCCTATGTGTCCATCAACAGATGAGTATATCAGGAGAATGTGGTATGTTTACACAGTGGAGTGCTACTATCAACCAAACTCATGAAATTTGCAGGTAAGCAGATGGAACTAGAAAAAAAACTGAGTCAGATAACCCAGACTCAGAATGACAAATACATCTTCTCTCATATGCAGGTGTTAGCTTGTAATGTTCAGTAAGTAGCTAAGTAATCACAGAGGTTAGTTATAGAGTAAAGAACAAGGCAGGGAGGGAATGATCTCCTAAGGAAAGGGAAATAGAATACATAGCTAGAGAGAAATGGGGAGACTGAGACAGGAGGATTGTGGTGGATTGAAAGAAAATGGTCCCCATAGGCCCATAGGGAAATGTGGCCTTGTTGGAGTTGGTGTGGCCTTGTTGGAGGAGGTGTGTCTCTAAAGGGTGGACTTTTGAGTTCTCTAAAGGGTGGACTTTGAGTTCTCTGAAGCTTAAGTCAGTTCATGTTCGACTACCTGTGGATCATGATATAGAACTCTCAGCTCCTTCTCCAGTACCATGTTTGTCTGCATGCCACTATGTTTTCCATCATGATGACAATGGACTAAACCTCTGAACTGTAAGCCAGCCCCAGTTAAATGTTTCCCTTTATAAGAGTTGTGGTAGTTGGAGGTGTCTCTTCACAGCAATAGCAACACTAAGACAAGGATTAAACTGGAGAGGGGATGCAAAAGTGAAGAAGCAAGTGAGGTAATATGGGGAAGGACAGCTAACACTAAGGGCCATTTGAGAGGTCATATGGAAACCTACCACAATAGGAGTTTCTTAAAATACATACATAAATCTAAATGGAATCACCAAATAATGTAGGATACAAAGCCCCAACTAGACATCTCTTGCCACCAAGTGAAACCTCCAGTCCCAGGAATGGGTTACATCTTATCCAAGTTGTTGGTCAAGGGGTCTCCAAACAACTCGGCTATTGACAAGGCTATTGATTGCTCACCACAAGCTTGATGGTAAGGCCCTATTGCTGAAGACAACACCTAAATGTCTCAGTAAACACAGAGAAGTTGACCTGGTGCCAGTGTAGCAACTTCACCCCCAATGACTGGTGTTGATGATTCTAGAAGGTACTCTGCATGCTACCAGAGGAGAACAGTAAACAATAACCCTGCTACCAACCCTTGGATCTACATGAGTGGCCTGCCTGCATGATACACCAATACAATCATGGCATACATGTGAGAGTAAACAACCACTAATTGTATTTAAGACCCAGTGAATAAGATGGACCCCATACCTAATACTCAAAGGTATTTTTGGAAAGGTTTTTTGTCTCATATTGCTTTCTTGGGGCCTTTAAAAAAAACTTTATTTTTTTTTTGCTTGTGTTTTATGGTTTCCAAGTTTTAAGTGTGTGTGTGTGTGTGTGTGTGTTTCTCATGCTCTTTTTAGAGTCTTTTTGTCTGTTTGTTCATTTTCTTTTAACCTTGTTTGTCTATTTATTTGCCTGCTTTCTAAAGAGAGAGAAAGAAGGCATGAATTTGGAAGGGTGGGGAGGATCCAGATGAGGGAAGGGAAACTGTGATCAGAATACATTGCATGAAAATAATTTTCTTTTTAATAAATAATGAGATTTAAAAAACTACACACAAAAAATCCGTAGCTTCAAACACTGAGCCAAACTCCTGGAATCCAGCTGCAGAGAGGGAGGAGTGACGAGCAAAATTGTCAAGACCAGGCTGGAGAAACCCACAGAAACAGCTGAGCTGAACAAGGGGAGCTCATGGACCCCAGACTGACAGCTGAGAAACCAGCATAGAACTGATCCAGACGCCCTGAATGTGGGTGTCAGTTAGGAGGCCTGGGCAATGTATGGGGTCTCTGGTAGTGGATCAGTATTTATTCCTAGCAAAAGAATGGACTTTGGGAGCCCACTCCACATAGAGGGATACTCTCTCAGCCTAGACACATGGGGGAGGGACTAGGCACTGCTCCAAATGATATAACAGATTTTGAAGATTCTCCATGGAAGGCCTCACCCTCCCTGGGGAGCAGAAAGGGGAGGGCATAGGAGGTTGTGGGGGACAGGGGAGGAGGGGAGGGAGAGGGAACTGGGATTGACATGTAAAACAAGCTTTTTCTAATTTAAATAAAAAGTGGAGTTGTGCATATGTAAAAAAATCTGTAGCTTCCTTATATATAAATGACAAACAAACTGAGAAAGAAATCAGGAAAACTGTGCCTTTCAAATTAGCCTCGAAAAAAAAGTCTTTGGAAAAAAAATCCACCAAGCAAATGAAAGACTTATATAATAAAAACTTTAAGACACTGATGAAAGAAACTGAAAAAGATACCCAAAGATGGAAAGACAACTCTTACTTATGTATCAGCAGGACTAATATTGCTTAAATGGCCACCCTACTTAAAGCAATCTATAGATTTAATGAAATCTCCAGCAATTCTTCACAAAAATTGATAAAGATCTTAAATTACACACACACACAAACACTCACACACAAGAAAGAAATAACAGGAAACCTAAACAATCCTGAATAATAGAAGAACTGCTGGAGATATCACCATCCCAAATTTCAATTTGTATTACACACAAATAGTGATTAAAAACAACAATGGTATTGGCATAAAAATGGACATGTTGATTAGTGAAATCTACTGAAGATTCAGACACTGGGTGTCCAAACACCTAGACACCCAAGTTTTGACAAAGAAGTAAAAAAAAAAAATACACAGTGGAGAAAAGACAGCATCTTCAGCTTCAGCAAATAGGGCTGGTCAAACTAGAGAGCTACACTGAGAAGAATTATATATATCATTCATAGATTTATATCTACTGTCTATACAAAACTCAACTCCAAATGGGTCAATGATCTCAAGATAAGACCAGACATCCTGAATTTGGTAAAATAGCAAATGAGGAATAGGCTTGAAATCATGGGCACACTCCCATTTACGATAATCAAAGAAAGAGATCATGGCCACACTCCTGTTTATAACAGCCTCAACGACAATAAAAGATCTTGGGATAAACTTAACCAAGCACATGAAAGATCTCTACAATGAAAACTTTCAAATCTCTGAAGAAAGATATTTAGGAAGACAGAAAACAGGAAGATCTCCCTTGTTCATGTATCTGTATAATTAATATTATGAACATGACCATCTTCCAAAGGCAGCTACAGAATCAATGGGGATCCCAATCAAAATACCCCCAAAATTCAGCATCACTTGATAATAAAAAAAATCAGCCAAAAATTAAATATAGGAAAAACATGTACCTCAAAAATAAAGAGCCAGAGGCTCAATCACACTGCATAGGAAAACCCTGAGGCATGCCTCTAAGACTACAGTATGAGAAAACTGCCTACTCCACCATTTTGATTCAGTACATATTTGAAGTCTTAAAATAAGGCAAGAATCACATTAAGAGCTTCCAAACACGAAAGGGAAAAAAATCAAAATCTATATTTTTACAAAGCAAAAACATGATTAGACATTTAGGAAAAGAAGCAAAAGAACTCCACAAAAAAAAAAACTAACTAACTAAAAACTAATACTAAATAAATATGCAAATACAAAATCCAGTACTTTTTTAGCATGTTTAAATTTTTATGATTATATATATTCATTGTATATATTGCTAGGTTATGTGGGACATTTTCATAGATGTCCTATTGTACAGTGAACACTTCTCCCATTAGTCCCCTTTATTTCCTAGTTTTACTTTTCCTTTCATGCCACATTTACAAAAATGGTTATGTACATATATAGAATCTAAGAACTACATATGAGAGAAAATGCATTGTATTTGTCTTTCTGAGACTAGCTTCATTCACCTAATATGATAATCTCCAGTCACATCCAATCTGCAAATGATATAACTTCATTCATTTGCTTTTTCATATGCAAATGTCAAGACACCTATAGAAAGCTCACAAAAGCAATCCCCTTCACAATCATACAAAGAAATACACAGGAATAAATCTAATCAGGAGTGTGATTAAGGCACAAAAAAAGCATCCTAATTTCATAAACTAGAAGAATTGGATAAAAATGCTCCCACTAATCAAACAGATAAAAAGCATCAATGCTATTCCTACCAAATTAACAATGACATTCTTCAGAGAAGTGGGAAAAAACATCTGAGCTATAGTACTTCAGAAAATCATACAAGCCAAAGAAATTCTAAACAAAAGAATGAAGCAGAAAGGCACCACCCAACCTGAGCACCAAATAAACTAATGAGCTATAACACCAAAGTTCTGTGGCACTAACAAAGAGAGCCGTGGAACACAGTGGGCAGAGCAGAGTACAAAGGCAGGGATACACTTGTGTGTTACAGTCAGTAAGTAGTTTTGAAGGTAAGAGGAGATACGCAAAATAAAGATGAAAACCATGTGGTATGATACAATGTGGAAAAATATCAGAAGTGCTACATGGGAAGAGAGAGAGAAAAAGGGAAAGCAGGAAGAAGGGAGGAAGGGAGGGAGGGAGGGAGGGAGGGAGGGAGGGAGGGAGGGAGGGAGGGAGGGAGGCAGGGAGGGAGGGAGGGAGGCAGGGAGGGAGGGAGGAAGCAGTACATAGGACACCAACCAGCTCAGCTGAGGTGATCTGACAGGACTTGCCTGGAGGCTGCCTGGAGATGAGCACAAGTGGGAAAAACCAAGAGAGGCATGAGAAGTCTCAGGAATGATGATCAGGGTCTGTATTTGATGGTAGCCATAGTCACCTTTGCCAAGCTCATCACCCCATCTGTGTCATTGGTCCCCTTTATTTCATGGAGAGCACACCCCCCATAAAATTGATTTTAAAAAGAAAAAATGTTAAGAGTAAATAAGAGTAAAGAAAGAGGCCTTGTTCTACAAGATAGTAATAATCTCTTTTTTAATGGGATATGCAAACCAGTGATTCATGTCCAGGTGTATGAAAAGTGCTACTGTGACTATATTGTAATTGAGGTCATTTGCATTATCACTATAGATACTGCATTACCCAGAGGCACTGTCCTCTGGACTGTCTGCATTCACTGTATTTTCAGGACTTTCCTGCCACACAAATGATCAAAATTACCTCAAGTTCAGTCCACAGTATGTGACAGGTTCCCTCATCATACTACTAATTCCATGGGAAAGCTACATCCTAAAATTTACATGTGGACTGATAAACAGTTTAAACTCAAACATATAGTCATAAAATTCATTTACAGCAATGCTCTGCATGGTACCCAATGTAATTTAGAAATACAACATTTCTGACAAAGAAGAGCTTAAATGGTGAGTTTGTTGTAAGTTTCCCTAGGTGACGTACTCACTTGCACAGAGCCACAATCACAGCTTTCGTCTCCTTCTACTTTGCCATTCCCACAGACAGCTTGTGGCTGAGTTTGCATTTGTGGCTTATTCTGAAGGCATTTGGCACCCACATTAGATTTAAAATGTTCAAAGTCATTCAAGCTGCAATTACTAAACACCTTCATACCTGTAGATTGCCTGAAAATGAATTCATATTCTGTCATTAGCAGTGTACATCCCAAAGCATAATTCCATAACTTATATTAGCTTTGTGACATTGTTAAATACATGATAGCAAATACTCCCAATAAGAGTTCACAATTATTCTTGAGGAGATCATGTAATTTCATTCACCACAATAGATTTTGTTACTTTAACAAAATTAAGAACAAATCAATAGTAAAAGGCGTGATTTTATAATAGATAAAGGGCTTGACTAAACACTACTCAAAAAAAGTCGCACCCAATTTTTAACCATACACAGAGGAAGAAGAAAGACAGTTTCATCCATCAGAACACATGAATAGATAGATTTGGCAAAAGAAAAAGGTAAATAGAGGAGATCCAAAAAGAAATCAATTATGTCTAACAAGCAAACCTCTAAATAATACCAGAAGAGGTTAAAAGATCCACTAATAGACCAAACAATCAGAACAGCATCCAAGAAAGTCAATAGTAACAACAAACCCTATCAATAAGAACCTTAAATGCAAATGATCTTGACTGACTCACCCACTGAAAGATGCAGATTAACAGACTACATTAAAGAAAACTATCCATTTCCCCAAGAAACTAACTAACTAACAAAGACACCCATAAACTGAATTAAATGCTGAAAATAATGGGCTATTATTTATATTTTATAGATATTACATTGTATGTCATAGGAAATAAGGAGGGCTGTTAATAGAGGGCCAATTCACCAAGACTATAATTATTGTAAGTTATGTGTCAAACCTTGAACTACCCAATTTCATAAAATAAATACTAAAAGGAATAAAAGGATATATTCATCTTGACACGATGATGGGGAGGGATTTCAACATCATACTGTCATTTCTAGATAGACCTGACAATCAAAAAGCAACAAAAACCAATTATTGCTAAACTAAAGCGTAGATTAAACCAATAAAGAATATTCCAGCCAACATATGAGCAATACACATTTTTCTCAGTAGAGCACAGACATTTCCTGAAGGGTCAGTCACATTATAGGTCACAATGCAAGCCTTAACAAATTCAAAAAAGTTGACATAATTTGCTGTGTTGTATTAGGCCAGATAGACATCCACAGCAAGCCTAACCCCAGATCCTATACAAATACTTGGAGACTGAATAATGTATCTTTTGAATGAATGGAGTGACAATAAATAAGTTAGGGAGGAAATTGCAACAGCATAATCCATGAGAACCCTGGAATACAACCTCAAAGGACTGCTCATGTGATAAGCACTTACATTAAAAATAATAAAGAGATCTCAGGTAACCTAATAGTATCTCTTAAATGGTCTAGCAAAATAAGAAGCCAAATCCAAATGCAGTAGATAGCAAAGGTGGTAAATCTCAGGGAAGAATTTAAACAAATGCAAACTAAAATAATACTAAACTAAAATTAAAAAGTAATGAAACAGACAACTGGTTCTTTGAAAATACTAACAAGATAAGCAAACCTCTAACCAAACTAACCAACTGAAAAAGAGGAATCAAGTTAATAAAATTCGAGACCAAAAGAGAATATGAAAATAGAATCCAATAAAATCAGAAGATCATTAGGGAAAATCTAGAAGAAATAGATAAACTTCTAAATGTGTCTGATCTACCAAAATGAAAGCCGAAAGATGTAAACAATTTATATAAGCCTGTAACCGAAAATGAGAGTAATTAAGTCTCCCCATAAACCAAATCCCAGAACCTAATAAACTCTCTAATACCAAGACTTTTCCAACTGTTCCACAAAACGAGAAGGGAAGAGACATTTCCATACTCACTCTATGAAGTCAACCTTACCCCTAAGCCAAAACCACATGACAATACAACAGAGCAATTTCTCTGATGAACAGAGATGCAAATTTTCTCAACAAAATACTTGCAAACTGAATTTAAGAGCATATTAGGACGACAATAAATAGGTCACAGTTACCTTGGTTTCATCCCAGGAATGCAAGGCTGATTCAACATACACATATCAATAAATGTAAAGTACCTTATAAGCAGAACTGTGGACAGCAATCACATGATCATTTCAATAGCTGCAAAAGTGTCATTTGGTGAAGTTTAATGCATCTTTATGATAAAAGCCCTGAAGAAACTAGGAACATTTGGAACATACCTTAACACAAGATATGTAAGACAAACCTATGACCAACGTTATTCTCAATGGGAAAATATTGAGTTCTTTTCTTGTCAGATCCAGAACATGTGTCCCCACTCTTTCTGCCTTTATTCAATATAGTATTTGAAGTCTCAACTAGAGCAACAAGAAGAAATAGCAGGGTGTAGTGGCATGTGCCTTTAATCACAGCACTCAGGAGGAAGAAACAGGTAGATCTCTGTGAGTTTGAGACTATCCTGGCCCGCATAGTGATTTCCAGGACAGCCAGGACCCTGTCTCAAAAACAAAAAGATAAAGTGGGGGCTGGAGGAATGGCTCTGGAGTTAAGAGGGCATGACAACCTAAGTTAGGTTCCCAGAACCCATGTGAGACAGCTTTCAACTGTGTGTGATCCAGCTCCATGGAGATCCAACACCCCTGACCTCCACAGGTATGCACACGCACACGCACACGCACACACACCCCCCATTTAAAATAAGCTACTTTTTAAAAGAAAAAAATAAAACGGATCCAAACTAGGAAAATGTCAAACTCTCTCTCTTTACAGCTGACATGAGTCTATACTTAAAAGACCCCACAGGCCCCATCAGAAAACATTTAGATCTAATAAACACTTTCAATAAAATTGCAGGATCCAAAATCAAGACACTGAAAATAGTAACTCGTGTGTGTGTGTGTGTTGAATTTTTTGAGAGAAAAAATAGAAAAAGATCAGATTGGCAATAGTTTCAAAAAAGAACAAAAAAAAAAAAAACACCTAGCGATGAACTCAATCAAGGTGAAAGAGTTCTGCCATGGAAACAATGTACTGTTACACCCACAGATCACCTCCTCCCTCTGCCCACATCAGTGAAGCTGCCTTTTGGAGTAATGGAGAACTACACCACAACTGGACAACATGCAGAGACTGAGAGACTTTGGCACACTCGGTCCTAAATAGGATGTCTCCATCACACCTCTTGGTTGGTAGTCTGTTTTTGTTTTTTGTTTTTTGTTTGTTTGTTTGTTTGTTTTTGGGGTTTTTTTTTTTTGCTTTTTCACATCAGACTAATCTAAATCTAAACACAAAAGCTCTGCCTTTTAAAAAAGCATGTCCATGTGTTATGGTCTTCCAAGATATTTAAAGGATCCTTACTGCGGGCTTTCACAAACACATATCAAAGGAACATTCCCTTACCTATATATTGTACATTAAATTTGTCTGCCTTGGCTAGAATTTGTTCAAGTATTCCTCACATTCTACTGCTCTTATATTTAAGTTGCAAGCATATATTTTGTCATGAGCTTTATCTCCTTATAGCACATTTATATTACAAGTAAATTCTACACTTAACATAAAATAAACATAACCAACAAATAAACCTTTTCAGAAAGCTTACATAGCTCTTGGATTCATGATGCAAGTAGCTTCTGAGCAGTGACATTTCGTTGGGTCATCATATGATATTCCCAGACTGAGCCCCAGCATCTGGGTGACAACAACTGAAAAGGCCTCCAAAGTCATGTCCTTGGGGTACTAAAGCAACAAGGGGGTTCCAAAAGAGAAGACACCACTGAATGATAAAAGGACTTTTCCAAGTTGGAACCCTTTTACTTTTGTAGCAAACACATCACAATAATGAACATGATTCATGGGTGGGTGAAAACCTGTAGTTCCTCTTAGGAAAGGCACTGATATAAGCATCCAGTAAATATCTGAGCTCTGTTCATTTTCCATTTTTCAACTCTATTCTCTTCCATTGATTTGTTTATTTCTATATTTCTATATTACAAAGGGATTATAAGCTTTTATACAAACTATATACGTCCCTCTACCTTCTTAACCTTCAAGACTATCATAGCTTTCAAAAAGTTAAATATAAATAATTTGTAAAAAACCTCATTCTTCCCTGGATGAAATGACAGTTATTGGAGATCCACCATGGAGTGCCTCACCCTCCTAGGGGACTGGACTAGAGATTGGGTTGGGGACTGGGGGACCTGATGGGGAGGGAGGGGGAGAAGGGGAGGGAGAGGAAGCTGGGATTGACATGTGAAACAAGATTGTTTCTAACCTAAATTTTAAAAAATGTAAAAAAAAAAACCATTCTTTGAATGTGTCTCCTCGGTGATCCACCTCCCACCACCCCATCCCCCCACCCCCCCTCAACGTCCTCCCTCAGCTATTCAGTCCTAGGTTCTCATCTAGGCATGGCCAACAGACTTTGTAACAACAGTCACTCCTCCATCCTTGGTAAGGACCAAATAAGAACATACCATTGTGATTCCTGCAGAGTAGCCAGCGGTACACATCTTTCCAGGATACGTGGCTCCCACGTAATTTGGGTATTCGTTATAACTAAGTACATAAACACACATTTGTAATTAATCCCAATAAACACCCTGTGTGAATTCTTGAAAATGTAAGGCCTGAATTCAGAAAAATCCTACTCATAAGCAAGTCAAGACTCAGTGGTTAAAAATGTCCCTAACTGCTGGAAATTTGGAAGACCCTCAACTAAACTGGATGAAATGCTATGCATCTACAAAACACACAATAGTTCTCCTTTCAGATCAGAAATGACACAAAAATATTACCACCACTCCTGCTCACTACCCTCTTAGTAGACTCAGGAACACAGTCAGACAGCCAAAGAAATAAAACTTGTAACTTTCGGGTGATAGGATTTTTTTTTACAGATCCATAACCTGACCACCTGAGCTTTGTCCCAGGAGTCACATGACAGAAGGGAAGAACTGACTTTAGAAAGTCACCCTCTGACCTGCTCATGCACCACCCTGCGACACACACACCTGCACATGTATACACATACACACACACAGGCACACACACAAAGCCAATAAATAAGTGTGGAAAAATTATTACAACATTTTAACATCATCATTAATTTACTAAACAGTAATTGTGAGTTTATACGACACAGAAAACAAACTCTATTGTAAGCCATGAGCTTCAGGTAATAGCAATGAATCAACATTGCTTCGTAAATTATAAAAGTACCACCTAATGCAAAATAATAAAAGAGCTGAAGGAGTGCCTGGAAACCATCCTCTATGCCTGTATCTGCAAGAAGAATACTTGTAAAAAGAAAAAAGTTTGTGTATTTAAAAATGAATTTAAGCCGGGCGGTGGTGGCGCACACCTTTAATCCCAGCACTCGGGAGGCAGAGGCAGGCGGATCTCTGTGAGTTCGAGGCCAGGCTGGACCGACAGCCTCCAAAACAATACAGAAAACCCCTGTCTCGTAAAAACCAAAATAAAAAATAAAAATGAATTTAGATAATTATATTTATAATTTCAAAAATTCTTTCAACAAGATAATAACAAAAAATAATTTGTTACTTGTGGTGGTTTAGGTAAGAATGAGCTCTCCTAGCCTCCTATATTGAAATATTTAGTCACCAGGAAGTTGACCTATGTGAAAGGATTATAAGGACTAGGAGGTGGGGCCTTGTTGGAGTTGGTGCAGGGTTATTGGAGGAAGTGTGTCACTGGGAGTGGGTTTGGGGTTTCAGAAACCCATGCCAACCAAGCCCAATAGTGTGCTTTCTGTCTGTGCGTCTCTGTCTCTCTCTCCTTCCTGCTGCCTTCAGATCACTATGTCCAGTACCATGTATGTTGATATGCTGCCACATTCCCTGTTATGATTGATGATAATGGACTAAACCTCTGAAACTGTAAGCCCCCAATTAAATTCTTTTTTAAGAATTGCCTTGGTCATGGTGCCTCTTTACAGCAAAAGAACATGACTAAGACAGTGCTTATAGAAAATTAACTGTATTACTGCTCTATAAAATATAATAGAGCATTAAAAATATTAACATTGGCAAAAATAATTAAAAGACCTATAAATAAATACCAAAGTTATCTATAAGAGTTCCAGAAAAAAAAAACTCTAATAAAAGTTTTCCTGGAGACTAGAAGGATAATTTGAAAACTGAAGGGATGTATCCCTACTCATTATCTGGAATGCTCCATATAATAAAGATATATACAACACTAAAAGCATAAGACCTTCCCAAATGGCCCAATCAAATTGCTTGAAGCCCTGTAAAAACTCTATAAGGTGTTTACAGGGCAAATTGTGTGACAAAATGATGGTCTATCAACGTGACAGAAAATCAGACTGTATCCCTCTTTATACTACAAAAATTAGTTATGTTGCATATATTTAGAGGTAAATACATACATATAAAATGCCTTTTGTATATTGCCAGCAATTCTATTATGAATGCAACTACAAATGCATAGCCATCATTTATTATTTTTAAGCTAACATTTTAAAATAATGCAGACAATCCTTCATGCAAGTCCTTATAAACAACTTTACACCCAGCCTTTGCCAGCTACATAATCAACACGTAAACTTCACTCAATGAGTCCTGAATCTTTCTTAGTGTTTAAGGGCAGGCTCTGCCATGACAGCGGGCAGGCTCTTACTTAACTATTGACTTTAAGAGTCATAAAATTAATAAGATTAGAAACAGGAGTCCTTCATCTATTTTATTGCCTGGCAGTCAGAAAGTGTAAGTCTTGAGTAAAGTACTTGAGTAACCTGAAATGAATAACAGCTCCCTGAATTAAGCTATGTCACAAGTCTCAAATAGGCTTACATGAATAAATATGCAACATCATGAGGCCTTAGGGTAAGATAAGATTGCTTCCATTCTAAAAATTGACGTAGTAATTCATCTGCTTCACCAACTGTAGGGATCCTATTTTTATCTGACCACAACTCCAACGAGGACAACACAATAGTAACCTTAAGTTGGGAAAACACCTGAAAAACAGAAGAAATAAATATACACAAAATTAATCTGTCTTATTTCCTAAATGCCCCACCTGAGAAAATATTTTGAAATTTTCACAAATCTACATTCTTTTCATATGAATGACTTAGTTACTCAGAAACTCCACATCATGTTAGTGCAAATGGTAATTTCAAAAGTGACAAATTTTAGTATAGAAACAAAAATACTTACTGAATTTATAAGACTGATAATTTCAATGATTTTATTTGTTACAATCATGCTGTCAGAGCCCAAGTAATCATACTAAAAGACAGAAATGATTTTCTAGTTAGAATACTACTTTTTGTGATATTTTTGATATTTACATCTGCTATCAGAAGTTTGCAGCTGATAAAGAATTCAGTGTCTCAAATAAGATACACAATTCCCAATGTGAGACTATCACAGAGCAGACCTGTACACATCATACACATACACACTCAACACAAGCAGGTGCATATGTAAGTGTTGTAATATGGAATGACCCTGGATAATACTGGTAGACTCCATCATTTTGAAGGCCTCCTCTGACCTTTCCCAGAGGTGTAACAAAGCAAGTATTGGCCTATGCTTCCTCAAATCTTCTTACTTCTGACCTCAACTCTGGATTCCTGGCAAGCTCTACAATGTTAAGAATGGAGCTGCTAATGTGTTATTTCTGTTCTCTGTGATAGTCCACAAGGGTGATAATCAAATCTGGACCATCAGATTAAAACCTGGAAGATACATATGTCCCAAAAGCCATAAGCAAGGATCTAGAGACATCTTCCTCTTGGGAAACAATGGTATGGGACAGGAGCAGCACCAAACAACTGTGTCTTACAGCGTGTGCAGGTAGGCTAGCCACTGCTGCCATCAAATTGTTATAACACTGACCACCCTCGGGCTTCATGGCCACCCTCTTGCTCTCCATAGCCTTTCTCTTACTCTACTTGCCAGAGTTGTCTCCTGTTGGGTGATCTTACCCATTTATTTTCAGTTAGCAAATTGTTACTCCGTGCTGTCTATGATGGAAAGTGAGGAGACTGGAATATCTAGTTGCTTCTAGCCAGGGGTATCACACATTTACACAAAATATTTAAGGACTGACACCAAAGTGTGTCAACATGTTGCAGTTCTTTTTTTAAGTGATTTTTAGGTTTATTTATTATTTTAACATGTGTAAGTACGCCACATGCATGCCTTGTGTTCTCAGATCAGACTAGTACATTGGATCCTCTGGGATTAGAGTTATAGATAGTTGTGAGTCATCATGTGGGTGCTGGGATTCAAACTTGGGTCCTCGGGAAGAGGAACAAGTATTCTGAACTACTGAGTCAACTCTCCAGTTCCACACCAAATACATAAAAAAATAAATGAATTAAAGCACATACCAAGGCTTTGTCCACCACAATACTCATCTCTAGATAGAGAGGAAAGGACTGTTTTAAAGGTGATTCTGGCTGTAAAGGAACAAAAGCACACAAAAGTTACATTTTCATAATGCATTTACATGGTCTCTTTATTAAAGCCATTAGGGCAGCACTCACAGCAAGTACTAGCTAGGGAAGCTAACATGCAGTGCTTGAGTGTTATAGCATGGGATCTAGAAATAAGAACAGTGGTTATGAAGTCAGCCAATTAAGCCACACCTTCCAACTTGTAAACTCCTCATATACTAAAATTGGAGTGGAACACCATGTACTTTTAACCATCTATTTGACCTGAATGTCAGAAGTGGATTAAACGTTTGCTTTAGAGGTTATACAGATGCTGAAGACTAAGAAACTATGGCTGTGTTTCATTTCTTTCCATAGCCATATACTTTGCAATGTCTCCCAAGAGGCCGGTTTGCTTCCCCTGGCTACTCATCCAAACTGCTAGTCACTGCGGGCCCCTTCTGACTGTCACATGTGCTCTTAAAGCACCAGCTTGTGCACATCCTGTCAGCCCCTCATCAAGCAAGAAACATGGGGAAATACTCTTAGGGAAGGGAATCAGACACTGCTTTAGTGAAAAACAAAAACAGCTACTAACTCTCAGTGAAACCCAGCTAACTAGCATCCATGAGAATGGTAGTCTATGTTCTCTGTGTGCTCCTTGTTAGTACCAGAGATGGCAATGCCAAATTGTTCTCAAAGAATAGGGGCGATTTGTTTGAGGTGTCCGTTGCCCTCCTAAAGAGTTTGCACGCAGAGCTTTTTGATTCCTCCTCCTTGGAACTTTCACAGAGTTGAGTAAACTTATGGGAGGTGCTTGTTAAAAAGGGGGGAGGAGGGAAGGAAAGAAGGAAGGAAGGAATCTCAAAGTAAATGCATTAGCTGCTGTCTAGAACAAGGGATAAAAGAAAGGCTATGGGACATGTGGTGAAGAGGGTGTAGCGAGGGTGGGGGAAAGAAAGGCTTTGAGAAATCTCAGGCACACATACTGGAAAGTATAAACTAGACACAAGCTGTGAAAGACCTCAAAAAAAAATACTAAGCTTTCAGCCCCGGCAAACCTTGGGGCACTATGCAAGAGTGAAATCCAAGAAGCGGTCACAAATAACCTGAATAAACACCATAGACATACCCAAAACACAGTCCCATCTCAGGAAACCACAAGAGCGAGCTCTCAGCCTCTTTCCCTCCTTTTTGGACTGACCATATCTCAATCTCTTTTTACCCAGGAACTCACCAGCTGTCCCACATGGCCTCTAGATTGATGTAAGCTACTTGCATCCCTTGTTCCCAGCCTCTCGTGATTCAGGACATTCCAAAGCCCTGTGGCTGCTTGCCAGGGGGCATCACATCCCTCCAGCCCCACTCCCTCCTTTAGATCCCCTAGTGTTCACTATATGTCCAGTTACTTCATCTGACCTTGAGACCCAGACTAACCCGTGCTGCTGGGGAAACTTATCCCAAGCTCCTAGACCAAGCCACTGCAGGTACCAGAATGTAGCCGACAAGTGGAAGATCTTGGATAGAGAAAAACAGGGAATGACCACCCCAAACCTGCTGTAAGTTAGCATCCTCCACAAACACTGCTACCAAACAAATAAAGATGAGTTGAATTTTTTAATATATCTGAATGAAATGTGGAAGAGTTAGGACATTATGAAAGCACTTAAACTTTGAGCAAAAAAAAAAAAAACTGAACCAACAAACCAACTCAGTGTCCAAATACCAATGCAGAGATAATAACTATACAAAAATAACATGTTTCCTCAAAAATAAATAAATCTCCTAGTAATGGCACTAAATGGAAATGACCTGGAAAAAAATCTCAAAGAATTCACAATAATGGTTAGAACTGTGGTCAAGTAACTCTCCCAAGACAAAGAGCGATAGATTAAATAAGGCAATCAATACAATACGCTAAAATAGATTTCATTTTTTTAAAAGAAAACCCAAACTGAAACAAGAACCTCAAGTAAGCTGATTAGAAATCTCACTAGAAAGCCTCACCAACAAAATGTACCATGTCAAAGACAGAGTCACAGATAAAAGACAAAGTAGAACTAAGTGACTCGGTAAAGGCCAATGATAAGCTTTCACGGAAGAAGGAAAACTAATACATAGTGAAGACATGGAGAATATATTCATTGACTTTATAGCAGGAAGTTTCCCAAACTTAAACATCCAGGTATAAGAGGCCTGCAAAACATCAACTCAACAAGACCAGCAAAGAAATTCTCCTTAGTATATTATAATTAAATCTTTTTTTATTCTGCAAACTTCATAGCTTTATTTTTTAGAATTAATATTCAACCTTGAATGAATTATAACAAATGGCACAAATTAAGATTCTTATATTCAGTGCTTATATTATATGTTTAATTTTCCCATGATGTTTTCATAAAAATACTGTTATTTTACCCTGAATTTTCTTGATGCCGTCACCATTTCTGTAATGACAACAGCAGTGTCTAAACTCTCCACTTTCTGTTATTGATCTGCATGTCTAAATTTCAGACATGACATTGTCTTGATGATAAATCCTGACATCAAATGGTATACTTTCTTCAGTTTTAAATGGTTTTGACAATTCTAGGTCTATAGCTCTATTTTATCTCAGTACCAATATTCAAACCAACTTTTCAATCTTGAGAAAATTCACACTAAAGTCTTGATCATAAATCATTGTTTGGTTTTTTTTTTATACTTCAGATACATCTTTTATAACACATGCTGAAAGGATTTACATGACAAAGGCAGGTAAGGGATTTTCTGTTTGGGGTTGTAAGTTCGTTCTACATGTGGGTCAGAAATGTAGGCTGTTTGAAAAACATGTTGTGATCTTGGGTATTGTGAGGTTTATAATAGGTTTTGAAATCAGAAGATGAAAATCCTCAGTTTGTTAAATATTAAAGACTGTCTCATTTGCATATGAAATTTGTATCAGTTAAGTCATCAGAGATTTTAAGAGGGTCTGTGTTGATTCTATACATTTGTCCAAGGAGTACTGTTATACCATCCATTTATTAAGTCCTCCATTTTTATACCAATATTCTATAGGCTCATGGTTTTAGTTTTATAATGATTTCATTATGTTCATTCCTAAGTGTTTTACATCTTGTGATGTTGTTTTGGGAGAATTTTTAAATTTTGTTTCCTAATTGGTCATTGGTCATTGAAAGAAAAGCATTTGCTTTTTGTGAAAAAAAAAGAAAGAAAAACATGTTGTGTTAATCAATTGAAATAAAGGCCTCAAATATAGTGGCAATGAGTTTGTTAGATCTACAGAGACAAAACATATGAACAGTCATAAAAAAAGACAAACCCTGGGTTAGCATTCTGTGTTCTCAGTGCTGTTTCCTTGTCCCAAACCAAATAACAATATACACCACAACTGAAATACAATTTTGCTCCACATGTTATAGACAGCATATCATTTAATACTCACAACCACAATTCCAAAGTGTTTGCTTTGAGTTTTCTGATACATACAGCTTAGATCACAGAAACTTAAGAGATGGCACTATATTAAAGATTGTTTGCACTCCATTTTTTGTACAGTTTTTTGATTAAGTCAACTAGGCTGGCAGTTTGTTGCACAATATAAGCAACAGCCAGTAGTGATTGACTTAACCTACAATTGTTTATTCCCTTCCAATACAGTTGATTACTGCCAACCAGACTTGGGGCCTGTATCATGAAGTGCATGGTCCTTATATTTCTATATCCCTCTGATCTGTATTTTCATTTTGCCATTCTGTCATTGAGGTTTTGAAATCTTTTTTTCTTTTTTCTTTTATTTGTTTTTTTTTCATTTATTTATTTAAATTAGAAAAGCTTGTTTCACACGTCAATCCCAGCTCCCTCACCCTCCCCTCCTCCCCTGCCCTCCCCACCAGGTCCCCCATCCCCCATCCAATCCCCACTCTGTTCCCCAGGGAGGGTGAGTTCCTCCATGGAGGATCCCAGAATCTATCATTTCATCAAGGGCAGGGCCTAGCCCTCCCCAATGGGTCTAGGCTGAGAGAGCAGCCCTCATTTGACTGCCTCATGGGCAGTCAAAGTCCATTTATATACCAGGGATAAATATTGATCTACTACCCAAGGCCCCATAGATTGCCTAGGCCTCCTCACTGACACCACATTCAGGGGGTCTGGATCAATCCCATGCTGTCTAGTTAAAGCTTTTTAAAAACAAAGTAAAGATAAGATGTTGAAAGGTAAACTCACTTATGAAGACAGGCCCATCAGAATAGCACCTGATTATTGATTAAAAAAAAAAAAAAACATTTGAAGCCACAATGAGATGCATCCCAAGTTCCAAACCATCATAGTTGACAACTCAGGCTATTATACCCAACAAAACTATCCATTAAGATAAAGTTGAAATAAAAACTTTCTATAACAAAAAAAAACTGATTAAAGGAATGTACGACTACTGAACCAGCTCTACAGAGGGTACTAGAAGGGATACTTCAATCTGAAGAGAAGAATAAACACACTTGAGAGGCTGTAACAAATAGGCAATACCAGGACAAGTAACCAAAAGAGATACTTTTTAAAGATTAACAAAGTGACAGGAACTAATAATTAATACACATCTTTCAGCAATAATTAAATACTAATGGTCTTGATTCCCACAATAAAAAGACACAGACTAACAAATTGATTAGAAAATGGGGACTTTTTTTTTTTGCTTCTTCCAAGAAACACATGTCCTGATCAATGACAGACATCACCTTGAGGTAAAAAAGATGAAAAAATGGAACTAAGAAATACATAGGCATTTACTATGTCATCTATACTTTCACAATTCAGGCTATCCAAAGGACTTATGGAATAGAAAGGTTATGATCAAGGACTAGTTATGGAATTATCAATCTCTGTAACTAGCAATTCTGTGACTATAGAAAATGATCTTTTAAATTGCTCAGTACAGTGAAAAGTTGAAAATTAAAAAAGAAAAGAAACATGCAGGGATTATTTGATACTATCAAAAGGCCAACCCTTTGGAATATAGGAATAGAAGATGCTAACTCTAGCAAGGAGGTAGACAAGGAACGGCTGCTCCCAGGGCTAGCCCCGGCCTATGATAAGGTAAGGGGCCTTTGGACCCACAATCTTCCAGTCTTTCCACAGTGCTGCAACCCTTCTAACCAGTCGTTCATTCTCTGCAGACATTGCTTCTTTTCAGGTATGCTTGTTCCCACCAATAAAAATAAAACAAACAAAAGCCAAAACAAAGCAAAAACACAGCACTAAAGTAAAATAAAGTGAGCAATACAAAGTAAGTGATAGGATGTGGCTAAGAGGGAAAGATCATGCCTGGCTTCAGGGAAATTGTAGGACAGTAAGAGACAGGAATATCCATAAAGAATTACCTTACTGTAGCCATACAACAGTCTCACACACTTTTTCTTAAATTAGAATTAATAAGTGCTTTGAAAATGATAAAGTATAAAAAAAACTCACCTTTTCATTGATAAGAATGCCATAGTTCGTCGGCATCTCTATGTTTCTACTATTTTTATTAAAAACTGTTAACTCATCCTCTACTTTCCCTAATTTATAAATAATGTGTTGTAATGTAATTGTAGACTCCAGAGGCTCGATTCCATAAGACACATTTTCAAATTGCAGGATTCCTCTGAAACATTAAAGACGAAATTGTTGAGTGCCTTGAATAAAATCTGTATTGTGAAATTCTATTAGCATCCAATGAAACAATAAATGACACAGAATGTTTTCAAACCAGTATTTTGTTCCAAAAAAAACTGTTTTAGAGATGGCTTGGAGGAAAAAAATAATTTCTCTAACACGAAACTCTGAATTGCTTTGTTTGTTTGAATGTAACAAGACTAATAGAAACTGGCTTTAAAATTTCTAGGAGCACAGTATGATAGCAATCAAATGACGTTCCTGTGCTTCAGTCAGCAGCTCCTTAACAACTTAATAAGCTGAAGCATTAATAAATATCTCTCTAGCCTGCAGAACTTTGAAAACCTGACTGCCGAGCTTTCATAATAAAAATGTACATCAGCCATTTTACTAATGAAAATAAAATCTAGCAATGTTTGTACAGGGATACTTATTCTGGCTGGGTACATGGTTTGAATAAGAAATCAAAAGCCTGATTCTGAAGAGGTGATCAGTTTACAGAACTTTGTTTCCCTGAAATGAGGTAGCCCAGTGTGTCACTTCTGCATGAGAAACTGGTTTCAGGTTTAAATTTCAGGGTCCCATGCAAGAAGCCCCAGGAAGCATTTGGGAAAACAAAGGCGTTCACTAAAAGCGGGGTGGAGAACTCTGACAAGATGAAAACCTATCAAAGCAGAAAAGAAGAAACCAAATAATTTTCAAAAGTTAGAGAAAGTACTGTTACTACTTTTTTTAAAAAGGAGCATTGAATTAATAATTACAAGGATATGACTTGCCTCCTCATTGTAAAGATAACTTTCATGAGGAAAAGCAAAGGTCATTTATGTTCATTTATTTTATTTTTATCTCCAAATGCTAAGATACATGGTAGGTATTGTAAAATTTCTATTTGCTGAAAAAATTAATAAGCCATCCTAAACCTTGCTCCTACAACTGAAAACATTCATTTGCCATTTCTGTTGTTAAGAAAAGGAAGAGCTGAGCAAGAATATTGGGAAGTCGAAACCCTCCAGATGTTAGGATTATCTCTGGTCTGCAAAGTAAGGGAGAGAAATCCCAGGCCACTGGGGCCACATCTGGAGCCAGACAGCGCCAATGAGCATGTGAAAAATCTGCCCCAGCTACACGTGAACAGAGTGGACTGCACCCACTGCAGCCAAATGCTGCAGCCAGAGTGGTAGAAAGTTACTGACCTCAGTCCAGAGCATGTGCTGAGTGTGACAACAGAGTTCAGATAGCCTTTGACGTATCCTTGATAGTAGCATTGACTCTAGGGATGAAAAGCAGGGAACTGGTTACCGAAGAACTGCCAAAACTTTCAAATAACTTCCTGCTCTGCAAATAGACAGAAGTGGGTGGAGGCCGCGCATACATACATGATTTACAATGGTATGCATACCGTGATACTCAAAAGGTCTCCATAATTCTTTTTTCCAATGTACAGATTTAAGACATCAACTAGTGCTGGGATTAAAGGTGTGCGCCACCACCACCCGGCGCTCTGAGCATCTTTAAAACTGTAACGTGCTACCTAAAAAGGATGTGAGGAGCTAAGACTCCGGAAGCTTGAAGGGCCAGTGTGCCCGGAAAGGAGGGTTCTGAAGCAGTGCTAACACAAAGAGTGTCACCTGCAAGGACAGAAGGAGTACCAGAGAAGGGGTGCAGTGACGACAAGAAGATACGCATTCACTCAACAACACACTTCCAGAGACAGAAACCCCAAAGTGAAGACGCGGTGAAAAACAGAAAACACGCAAGCATATTAAAATATTTTAGAGAATTGTTTTACTCAATAATAAACAGAGCATTCAAACTCCTCAGGTCCGAAAAAGGTCTAGAACACATGTAGCACACAGTAGGACTAATGTTTGTACACAGTAGGGCAATGCATACCAAAGGTTGTGTCCGTGCTTCGGTGCACTCGCGCACTTAATCTGCTTCTTTTACTTTCATTTACATTCACTCTCTCAGAAGTCTAGGTGAAGCAACAGTTTATAGGTAGTCCCCATGAAAGGCCCTCAGTCAACTAAATTAACTCCGCTGAGACATCAGGGAGCACATGGTGACTAAGTAATAAGTACCCTAAGTATATCACCTACAGATCCTGAGAGTCTTGTGCGTTGGGAAACCACTCAATTATTTTCAAGTTCTCTGAAAATAGCTTAAATCTTACCGGGATGCCTGCAGATCGAGAACTCACAGATCCTTTGTTATACGAATAAACCATAAAACGGTCTGCTAAAAAATAACTATGTAAAGAAAAGAGAATTCTTGGTTAGTCTTTTAGAAACAACAGAGCAGCCATCATTCAACTCTGCAACACCCCATGTTTCTGTAAATAAAGCCTTATTGGAACATAACCTCACCCATTAGCCTTCACATGTGCTGGGGACATCCCAGCTACAAGAGAGGTAAGGAACTTGAGCAGAAATGGGAGCCTTGACACTAAAAGACTTGCTATACAATGCACGTCATGCAAAGTAATACACATTTACTCAAAATAGTTTCTCCAATTTAAGGGGTTCCTTTTACTTTTTTATGTGGATCTATGTGCCCGCATGGATTTATGCACCAGTGTATGTAGGCACCCATAGACGCCAGACGACATCCTGTCTCCTAGAGCTGGAGTCACAGGTGGCTATGAGCCACAGGAGTGCTGAGAACCAAGCCCAGGTCCTTTGCAAGGGCAGTAAGCACTCTTAACCACTGAGTCATCTCTCCAGCCCACTAGGATCCTTTTAATAAAGGGAAGGGACTGCAAGAGGAGTAGTCATAGTCTTTTATTTACAGAGATATAAACTGGATGGAGGGTTGTGAGAATTTTCTGCTCCTTTATTCTAATATATGATCTATATTAGCATATATTAATATATATATTAGCATGATATCATATATATTACTATTGCATATCAATTGTATATATCAATCATATATTAATAGTGCATGTTAATATAGGCAATATTGATTGTATATGATACATTAGTTTTATATTTATATCACACATTAATAATTATGTTATTATTTTATTATATGATATATTACATTTTATAATTATATATGATTATGTATAAATAATTATATATTTGAATGTGTTGTTATATTATATATGATATTATCATATATTAGATAACAGGTAATTACATAGTATATAATACATAGTACATGTTATATATGATCTAATATGTCATATATAATGTATGCCATATATATTACATGATATATATGTATGTCTTTGATAATGTGATGGAAGAAAATGAAGTCCTATTATCCTTAGCATGTGCACTGAAACTGAGGACTAAGCTCAAGCTCCCGGTGGTACCATATTCCGCACGTACTGTGTTGTTTGGGTCTTACTTCTTCTCCTCACCCTCCCTCAGGCTCCAGTGAGCACACAGTCTACTGCTTCCAGCTCTCCACTGAGCCTGGTCTCACAAGCACTGGTAATGGTGCCTCCCACACACTCTAGCTGTCAGGTCTGAGTGGTAGGCAGAGGTGAGGGAAACCCACTCTGCCATGCCTCGACCATTGCACCCTTGATGACTTGCTCAACGCCATCTCTCTGTTGGTGTCGGTGAGCTCACCTTCCTCCTGCTCTCTTCCTGTCTCTATGTGTATGTGCACATCCCCACGTCTCGGTGGTGCCCACCTTCCTCACACGCTTCCATGGCATTCAGTTATACTGTTTTCCCTTCTCACACTGAAAATGCATTCACACCTTTAAAGCAGAGTTTGTCCAATTTCAGTGATGGCAATAACAATATTTAAAAAATAAACCATATCTAAGGCACTATGGAGATGGCTCCATCAGAGGTTAAGAACACTTCCAGAGCTGGGCATTGGTGGTGCACGCCTTTAATCCCAGCACTCGGGAGGCAGAGGCAGGCGGATCTCTGTGAGTTCGAGACCAGGCTGGACCGATAGCCTCCGAAACAATACAGAGAAACCCTGTCTCGTAAAAACCAAAAAAAAAAAAAAAAAAAAAAAAAAAGAACACTTCCAGAGCACCCAGGTTCAGTTCCCAGACCCCACAATGGCAGCTCCCAACCATCTCTAATCCAGTTTCAGGGGACCGTATATTCTTTTCTGGCCTCCACAATAATGAGGTATATACATGGTGCACATACATATGTGCAGGCAAAATATTCATATACATAAAATTTAAAAATCTTTAAAAAAACAATTTTGAGTAGTATACCTTTAGTATACTGTGGTGTCTAGTAGTATGATTCCTCTAGCTTTGTTCATTTTTATTCCAAATTGACATTGCTATTTTAGAGAGTTGCATATATCTTAGAAGAAAATTTCCTATAGAAAATGCCACTTGTGTTTTACTTTCTTTTATATTGCTTTGAGCTTGTTGTTGTTGTCTGGGTTGTTGTTGTTTAGTTTGTCATGGCTTTGGTTTAGTGGTATGTTTGGTTTGGTTTGTGAGTTTGTTGTTGTTTTAACTCTGAACTCACCATCACTAAGTAGCTGATGGTGACTCTGAATTCCTTGTTCTCCTTTACCTGATATCCTTGAACCCGCCTCTATCTCCACAGCTAGTCTAAAATTTTGATACCATAAATAGGAACTTCTTATTTCTTTTCAGATAGCCCATTGTTAGTGTGTAGAATTGCTTCTGGTTTTTGTGAATTTATTTATTGGTAATGGCAAGGGGTTTATTTTGTTGTTGTTTTGTGGATCCTCTATGGAGAAGTGGGGGGCCAGAAAGTGGGGAGAGGATAGAGGAGCTAGAGAGATGAGAGAGGGGGCACAGAGAGATAATAGAGAAAGATGATATAGTACAGACAGAGGAAGAAATGAGAGAGAGGGGAAGAGATGATAGATAGATAGATAGATAGATAGATAGATAGATAGATAGATAGATAGATAATGTCCTACAGGAACAATGTGACATCACCTTCCCAGTTCAAGTGTTTTCCTTTCTTTTGCTGAACTCTTCTAGCTGTCACTTTCAGCACTACACTGAGTAGAAGTGGTGAGGTGGCCATATTCTTGATCTTAGGAGAAATCCTTTCAACTTTCACCACTGAGTTGGCTTTGGGTTTATTATATGTTGACTTTTTATGTTGTCATATATCCTTTCTATACTTAATTTGTTGAGAGTTTTAAAAGCACGAAATGATAGCAAAATCCAATTGCTTTCTCTCATATTCCACTGTTGAATTAACTGCCCCTTAGCATTTCCCCTGGGCTGTCCCCAAGGCAGTTCACAGCCAGCCTCACCCCAGGGAACCCATGCCTCTGACCAAGGTCTGTCCACTCCAGCCCTCTGCTCTGATTGGTCCTTCTAGTTCTACTAACCTAAATCTATATTGACTGGTCTTCAAGAGTCAAGTCTGTTTGGGGGAGGGGTCCTAAACCTCATTCACAAAGATCATTTGAGTTATTGGGGACAACAATTTAATTATTACAGAGAGTATCCATTCATTAGAGACAACTGACAATTCCAATGAGAGCTCTGTTATTGCTCTTATACTCCACTGCTGCTGTAAGTAAACAGTGTCAAAGAAATAAAACGAAATACAAGGCTAAGTAATAAAAGAAACCTCACCTTTTCTGGAGGTGCACAATATATGGCTTCTTATTTATTGGAATAATGTAGGATATCTTTTCCTAGAAAGTCCAGAAAAACAGTGAGGACAGAGAGTTCGATGAGAAGCAAACAGCAACTCAGAGTCCACCAACCCCCCCAAGCATGTTTCAAACAATTCAAAAAATCATCGCACAATGCCTTGATAGTTTATATGCTTCTCTTATCGGTTGATGAAATAGTATCACAGCTAAAATTAACAATATAAAAAATAATGAACAATTTAGTCTTTAAGTTATTAAAACAGTAGATTCTTCACAAAAATAACGAATGGCAAACCCTTCATCAAATTAAGCAAAACAGAGAGAAGACAGCAAATAATAAAATTAGAAATTAAAGTGGAGATACTATCATAGATACTTCTGAAATCCAAAAGACCAGTAGGAAATATTTGAAATATTTTAATACATTTCTAGAAATTAATAAATTTATATACATATATGACCTACCAACACTAAACCAAAATTATTTATCTGAACAGGGGTTAGAGAGATGGCTCAGCAGTTAAGAGTACTGGCTGCTCTTCCAGAGGACCCAAGTTCAATTCCCAGCACCCACATGGCAGCTCAAAACTGTTTGTAACTGAAGACACACACACACAGGCAAAAAACCAATGCATGTAAAATAAAAATAAATTACTAAAAAAATTTAAAAAATATATATCTAAACAGATAATGATGAGTAATGAAATTAAAGATGAAATAAAAAGTCTATCAACAACAGAGACTAAAACCAGACACATACACTTCTGAATTCCACCAGACCCTTCAAAAGGAACAACCAATCCTTCTCAAACTAATCAATACGACAGAGAAGAGAGGATGCTTCCAATCTTATTCAAGAAGTCAACATCATCCTGACACCAAAATCAAATGATAACATGACAGAAAACTCTACACCAATTTGGCTGATGACTATAGATGCAAAGATCCTCAATCATTATGAATCCAGAATCACAATTTAAAAGATCATACATCATGAGCAGGTTAGTCTCATTCTAGGAATGTAAAGGTGGATCAACAGATGCAATACAATAAATATTGTATACACTTAAGTAGATTCAAAGGCAAAAAAAATCACATGACCAGGGCTGAAGAGATGGCTGAATGGTTAAACACATGTACTGCTCTTCCAGAGGACTTGAGTTTTGTTCCCACCACTCATGTCAAGTGGTTCACAGTTCCCTGTAACTCTGTCTCCAGAAAAATACAACACATCTGGCTTCTACAGGCATGTGTGCATATGCCCACAAACAGACACATACTGTTTTAGTAGGGTTACTATTGCTGTGATGAAACACTGTGACCAGAAGGAGGAGGAAGGGGGGGTTGTTTGTTTGTTTCTTTCTTTCTTTCTTTCTTTCTTTCTTTTCTTTTCTAAAGATTTATTTATTTGTGATGTATACAGTGTTCTGCCTACATACCAGAAGAGGGCACAGATCTCATTGTAGATGATTGTGAGCCACCATGTGGTTGCTTGGAATTGAACTCAAGGTCTCTAAAAGAGCAGCCAGTGCTCTTAACCTCCTCTGAGCCATCTCTCCAGCTCAAGGAAAGGCTTTAATTTGGCTCATACTTCTGCATCGTAGTCCATCCTGGAAGGAAATCAGGACAGGAATGCAAGCAGGGATGGGTCCTAGATGAAGGAGCTGATGCAGATGCTCTGGAGGAGGGCTGATCACTGACTTGCTCGGCCTACTTTCTTATAGAACCAAGGACCACCACCCCAGGGACCACCACAGTGGGCTGGTCCCTCCCAGCCCATCACTAGTCAATCAATCAATCACTAAGAAAATGCTCTACAGGCTTGCCTACAGCTTAATCTTCTAGGCTGTGTCAAGTTAACATAAAATTAACCAGCACAATTGACCCCCTGTCACCTTGACACACAACGCATTTTAAGACATAACCTTTCCTTTGTTGTTTTGTTTGGTTTGGTTTGGTTTGGTTCATCCCCAAGTTCTCAGATTAATAAATATCACAAATTTAAATTTTTACAAACTTTAAAGTTCCACAGTCCTTACCAATTCAAACACTTTAAAAGTTAGTCTCTTCAAATCCAAAATCTCTTTTAAAAATTCAAAGTCTCTCAACTGTGGGCTCCCATAAAACCAAAAATACGTTAAATAATTTCTTACCTCAAGAAGGAAGAACCAGGGCACAATCACAATCATAACAAAAGTAAAACCATACTCCAACAGTACTAATTCAGTGTCTCAATTTCTGGGCTCCTCCAAGGGGCTTGGGTCATTTCTGTGGCCCCAACCTCTACAGCACACACAGCTTGTCTTCTAGGCTCTGGCTGGCTTCATTCCACCACTGCTGCTATTCTGGGGGGGGGAGGGTCATCCCATGATAGTGGCATCTCTAAAACTAATGGGGACCCTTGCTAACACTAGGCTGCACTTTCACCAATAGCCTCTCCTGGACTCTCTTCAGGAAGTCCAACCCTGCCACACACACAGTACCACGCCTCAGCTGCTCTCCGTGACATCACTTCATGCCTCTAAAACCAGTACCACCTGGGTGACTCCTAGAGCACGGAGTTCTGCTGCCAGGAAGAGATACAACCTTGCTGATTCTGGACTACAGTTTCTGCATGCTGACCCTGAGGAAACACTTCCCAGAAGACTTCACCTCAACGATGCTGGTCTCTTCTTAATTCCAACTGATTTCTTAGCTCCAGCGGACCAGCATCTATTGTCCCAGTAAAGCTAAGGTTTTACTTTATTAGTTCCAGTCTCTTGTTAATCACAGCTACTTCTTCAGCCCCAGCTGACCAGAACCAGGTATTCTTAACTCCCTGAGAAAGTCTTTTAGTGACTCTCAAACTTCATTCTGGAACTTCACAAACCAGGCCTCCAACACCTCTGTTTCTCTCAACACTCTCTTCCAAGCTCCCACAGAACAGCTCACCAAGGTTTGAACACTCAATGACATTTTTCCAGCCCAAAGTTCCAAAGTTCTCCAATCCTCCCCAAAACATGGTCAAGCCTGTCACAGCAATACCCCCAATTTCCATCTTAATTTGAGTCAATATTGCTATGATGAAACACCATGACCAAAAGCAAGTTGGGGAGGAAAGGGTTTGTTTGGCTTACACTTTCACATTGTAGTCCATCACTGAAGGAATTCAGGACAGGAACTACAGGAGGGCAGGAACCTGGAGGCAGGAGCTGATGTAGGATCCATGGAGGGGTGGGTGCTATTTAGTGACTTGCTCCCCATGACTTGCTCAGCCTGCTTTATTACAGAACCAGGACCACCAACCCAAGGAAGACACCATGCACAATGGGTTGGACCCATCAATCATCAAGAAAATGCTCTGTGGGCTTGTTTACATACAGTATGATCTTTTGGAGGCATTTTCTCAATTGGGGATCCCTTCTCTCAGACGACTCTAGTCTGTATCAAGTTGACATAAGATTAATCAGCACACATACATATTACATATTTTGAAAGAAGATAAATCTTGAAAAGTAAGACTATTTAAGTAGATGCAGAAAAGCCCTTGACAGAACTCAGCATCACTGCACAACAAAAGCCCTGAGGAAACTAGGAATAGGAAGATCATATTGCAACATAATAAGCACTATACACAACAAAGCGACAGCCAGCATTACACTGAATCAGGATAGAAACAGAAGTTTCCTCTACAATCAGGAATGAGAGTCTTGTCTATTCTCTCCTTTCTTACTCAATATAGCACTTAAAATTGTATGCAGAGCAACAAGAGAAAGAAGGAAATGGTTATAAACAGAAAAGGCAGAAGTTAGCTATCCCATATGCAGATGACATGACTCCAGCAGGAAATGCTCAAACTGATGGACAGTTGCAGCAGAACAACAATGTTGCATTTGATTAATTCTGTAAAGCTGTGTTACTTTGCCTGCCTAAAAAGAGCTCAACAGCCAAGACCTAGGCGGGAGAGGGATCGATGGGATTGCCATGAAGAGATGATAAATAGGAAAAATAGAGAAAGAGGAACTAGGAGAGAAAAAGGGAGTAGAGGAGGATGCCAGGGACCAGCTACCCAGCCACACAACCAGCCATGGAGGAAAAAGGAAAGAAAGACATATAGAATAAAGAAAAGTAAAAAGCCTAGGGGCAAACATAGAAGAGGAAAATTAGGCTAATGTAAGTTAGAAAACAGACTAATTTACATAAGAAAAGCTGCTAAAAAACAAGTCAAGCTAAGGTCAGGCATTCATAAGCAAGAAAAAGTCTCCATGTATTATTTGGGAGCTGCGTGGCAGATCCCCAAAGACTTAAAAAAAAAAGCTGTCCCTGGAAGGTGCCACTGCAGCTCTCACCCCAGAGGGAGCCAAAAAGTGACAGCATCCTAGTCTCCTTCTCCACCCACAGGACTAGGACTAGAACCAGGAAGAGAACTACCAGAGTGTTGGACTTGTTTGCACCCACTGAAAGGGAACTCTGATCCCCTACCCACAAGCTAAGAAAGAGGATCATTCTGCACCCACTGGAAGAAGTGATGGGAAGGAGACAATACAAAAACACACTTAGCAACAGAAAAACCAATATGACACCGCCAGAGTCTAGAGACTCTACACCAACAAGACTTGAACATTCCAATGCAAATGAAGTAGAAGAGAAGGCCTTAAATACAACTTTGTGAAAATGATAGAGGCCCTCAAAGAGGATATGGGAAAATCCCTCAAAGAAATGGAAGAAAAAACAAACCAAGAAATGGAAGAAAAAACAAACCAAAAAATGCCAGAAATGGAGGAAAAGACAAAGCCAAAATTGCAAGAAACAATTTAAACAGTGCAAGGGTTGAAAGCTGAAATAGAGACAATAAAAAAAAAACCACAGTCTGAAGGAATGATGGAAATAGAAAAGCTGGGCAAATGGTCAGGTACTACAGATACAAGCATAACCAACAGAATACAAGAGATGGAAGAGAGAATCTCAGGTGATGAAGATACACTAGGAGAAATGGATTCATCAACCAAAGAAAACCTTAAGTCCAACAAATCCCCAACACAAAATGTCCAGGAAATATG